CGAGGCACTAAGCAACTCAGTGAGACCCTGTCTCTAAATAAAATACAAAATAGGGCTGGGGATGTGGCTCAGTGGTGGAGTGCCCCTGAGCTCAATCCCCATACACCCTCCCCCCTCAAAAAAAAATATTTGAAAATGGGACAGTGAGGATTAGGGTGAGTGGGGGGGATTCTGAGAATGGCCAGGAGAGTCAGGGAGGCAGTTTCTTTGGGGGAGTTAAGAGCTCTGGGGCCTTTGGCTAGGCTCGAACACCAGTGCCACCCCTTTCTACCTGTGTGACTGTGGCAAATAACCTAAGCCTGACCTCTCTGTGCCTCTTTCTCACCAGCACCCACATAGTTAGGACATCGTAAGGTGAACTAGTCAATGTCATATAGTGCTGGGGATAGGGCCTGCTATAGACAGTAAATGCTGTGCTTGTGTTAACTGTTATTTTTACTATGCTTAGCCCTAGAGAATGGGTAGAAAACTACCAGGCACAGTGACAGGAGGGAGCACATGGGAACTGCAAGGGATTCAAGATGGCGGAAGTAGGGGATGCCTAAGGGGAAGTAGGATGAGGGGAGGGTGGAGTAGCCCTGCACAGATGCTCCTACAGGGGTTAAAGTGGGGCCATCACCAGGGCCGCCAGCCAAAGCATCATCTCTAGAACCAATCTGCCCCTTATTTTTGATTATTCACGCCAAAGGCCAAGATTTCACCCCCACACTACTTTCCCTAGGCCTGAATTCCGTGTCACTCCATAATTCCTGAAGCCTGGGACCGCGGGGCTGGCTACACAGAGTGGGGACAGCAGCACCCTCCCTCCCCTGGCTTCATGCTTCACTTGGAGGAGGCTATTTTTTGATCTGTTTGAATAACCAAAGATAGAGTGGACTTTAGCAAAACTACCTTTAAAATGCATGAATGTTCATCTGGGGGTGGGGGGGGAGGCAAAAAAACCGCAATGTGTATCTTTATCCAGTTTCCCATCAGGGCCTGGGGGGAGTAAAGGCAACCAGGCCTAGACCTCCACAGGCACACATCCAACTTTCTGCAAAGAAGACAGTGCTGATTTCCCTGAGGATGCTGGCAGGCTTTTGTGGTGGGAGAAGTCCTCGGCTCAAATGCCAGCCATGCGACAAATGCCTGGAGGGCAGGCGGGGGCTTCGCAGCCCAGGATGCTGGGTTCTCACCGTCTCCCCGGTATGAATGCATTCACTAGTTTGATCAACATGGTACCCATGGCTGGCAAGAGAAGTGAAAAAACCCATCCAGGGGAGGAGGAGTCATCAGACACCTGGAGGTCAGCATCTGATGGCCTGGGGACACCATTCCTACTTTGCCATTAGGGGAAGGTTTGCTGCCACATCTTGAGATGGCTGGAGCTCCCCGAAAGGAGAGGGACTTTAACTTTCTCCAAATACTGGGGTTAAATGAGGTAGGAGAGAGCAGGAGTTTAATTAGTATGAGTGTGTGTGTGTGTGAGAGAGAGAATGAGATTCCGTGTGAGTGAGAACTTATTGCTGTGTGTGTGCAAGACAGAGAGACAGAGAGACAACTTGGCAGTGAGCATTTGTGAGTAGAAGGAAGCGAGGGCTCGCTCTCCTTCACGTGGGGTTTGTGTGTGCGGGTGGGGTGGGGGGAGAGAAAAGTGTAGCTCTTCTGAATTTCAAAGAGGCGATTTGGGAGTCTGGAAGTGTCCTCCTCTGCCAAGTCTGGAGCAGACCCTAGGGGCTGTCAGTGACAGCTGTTGAGCTGCTCCCTCTTGCATGTAAAGTGGCAGTGCCAGGCCCACTGGCGAGGAGCCCTGAGCCCTCCCGCCACCTTGCGCTGTTGGGCCTCACTGAACACGGAGCTTGGCCTGTCACCCCCGCCTCCATCCCAGCAGGTGGCTGAACCTTCCAGAAGAGCCACCCTGGACAGGCAGGTGACAGCTTGTCATGACCAGCTCTCCTACTCAGCTGAAGAGCAGGGGGACACTGACCTCTGAGGCAGAACAAAAGGAAATGCAAAGTCAGGGGAGCCGGGCGGGCGCCTCCCTTCAAACTTCCCTTACATCATAGCCGCAGCGTTGCCTTCTGATGCTCAGAGGTAATTAAGGTGATGATTGTGATTATTTAACTTGTCCTCAATGATGTGACAGGAAATCTATTAATTTAGAGGCTCGTGACCAGCCCTGTGGAGGGGACAGAAGTAAAGGACGTGGGACGTGGCTGTAGCAGTCAGGGCATCTGCTAGCCAGAAAGGTCTTGCTGCCCAAAGAGGGAGTATGACCAGAGCAGGGGTCAGAGCGTGGACATGTCTGCAAAATGCTAGAAGAGTCCCCTGCTGTCCAAAGTAGGCTGGAAGAAGGGACATGGTGGGGGCATGGCTGGCTCTGTTGGTAGTAGGGAAGGACTCTCAGGGTGGTGCAGAAGGATGGGGAGGGCCCACTGGGACAGAACCACCACAAGGGTGTAGAAGAACTGAAGAGAGCCCTGTCCCTGGATCAGGTATTTAAGCCACTTGATAACTCACTTCCCCCAAGATGCTAAGGGCACAGTCTGCATTCTTCAGGGAACAGTTTCCTGGAGTTGCCACCGAGGCCACTATTGGGGTATGGGGGAGAAAGAAAAGGAGGAGTTTCCTGTAAGATTCCAGACACTGACCTTCCACATACAGCTTTTCAAGAGACGGTTGTGTTGTCAAGATCTTCTTCAAACATTCAAAAACCACTGCTTCAGAATCATCAGGTTTCAACTCAGACTTGAGAAAAAGTGAAGAGCGTGTGTGTGTGTGTGTGTGTGTGTGTGTGTGTGTGTGTGTGTGAGTGTGTTTGTGTAGAATTTTATGAACTAAGAGAAGATATCTCTCAGTGGACTAATCCTAACCCAGCCATCTTCAGGATCACCTGGTAATGTGCATCTATACCTGCCAGCAGGTGTGATATCAACAGGCAGAAGGTGTCAGTGAAAGGGGCACTTTAGTCCTTCAGCCTCAGCCAGTATGCAACAGACATCGATGCATCTATGTAGGACCCACTGTGTGCCCAGCACCCTGCTAGGGACATGATTGTGATGAGACTGGCCTTCACCCACAAGAGGCAATGAATATCCCTAATGCCACATAGCTGTATTGCTCTTGCCATAGTGAGACTAGATAGTCCTGGTTCTGGCGCTTACCCAACTGGTAAGTTTTCTAGGCCAATGAGTGATTCACCTTGCTAATAGCTTGTCCTGACGAAGCCCATAAGGTAGTATGTTAGTAATTGGATGTATTTGGGTATTGCTCTTACTTTCATCCACCATTTTGTGTAAGACTAAGTCTCAGTGGGATTATGGCAAGAATCCAAGGCACTCATGCATACTGAGTATAATGTTCACTCAGTGGAATAGTGGAATCATGCTGCAAGCATCCTCTGCAGCTTTGAATGACAGGTTTAAGACCAAAAGCATCATGCACTGGTTCTTAATTCCATAAGCCCACTGCTCCAAAAGGTTCATGCTATATGGAACATATTGGGATTGTGAAAATCTATTATGATAGATACGTGAATCATACTGTGTATTATTGGTAAGGTTAAGCCAGAATTTATTGAGTGTTGTTGATTGAATTAAGCTCAAGATATGCTGAAGTCCTAACCTGTGATACTTATGAATGCAACGTTATTTGGAAATAAGATCTTTGCAGATCTAATCAAGTGAGGATGATTCACCTTGGAGGACTGCTCCTTGCCAGCATGCCTGGGGAAGAATTTTATCTTTACTCTATCAGCATTGTCCTCAGACCTGGGTGGCAACTCCAGGCTTGGGTAGCTACATCAGAAGTTGAGGACCATGGCTGGAGACAAGGCCAAGCCATCTGCATACCTGTAGGCCTAGCCCAGGGGTTCTCAAGTTCGTCTGCCATTAGCATCACTCAGGGGAAGTTTTTTTTAGTTTTTTAAATGCCATGGGTACTTTAATTGATTTAGATTTCTAGGAGTGGGGCCCAAGCATTAGTATTGGTAGATTTTTAACATGAATCACTGAATTAGATTACAATAATTGGTAAGTGGTTCTAACATGCAGCCATTAGTCACAATCACCGGATTAGCAGTGTTTCTTGGATTAGAATGTCCATCAGCATCATCTGGAGGGCCAATAAAACTGGCCTTAACTGACACTTTCAAGTTTCCTGGTTCCGAGATAGGGTCTGAGAATTTTTAACAGATTCCCAGTGTGGTTATCATTCTTTGAGAACCACTGGCATAGATCAAACCACCGTAAGTCATGTGTTGCATGAGAGTTCATCCCCAAAACCAACTCCGATCATTGTTAGTGGCTGGGTGAAGAAGGATTCTGAGGTTTCACTTGGGTTTAGTCAAGGGTTCTGTCTAATAACTATACATCAAAACTGCCTGAAGCATTTTAGAATAAACTTATGTTTGGGTATCACTCCTAGGGATACTAAAGGTATTAAAATACTCATGACATTAAAAAAAAAAAAAATTCCCCCAGGTGACTCCCATGAGCAGCCAAACTGGAGAAAGTTCTGGCTAGGCCTTCTGAGTAGACAGAGAAGACCGGTATTTGTTTTGATGAGGAATGTCACTGTGGGTGAGGGCCTGGGTTACTAACTGCTGTACAGCCACATTGCGCTTAATTTCAAAAGATCTTAAAATGATGAAAAAGGAACGGAAGGAGAAAGGAGAAGTTTACATGGTACATCAAGAGTCACTTGATATAGTTGGCAGATTGGACACTCCCCCTTGGGGCATTGACCATCCTGACTGGACAGTTGACCAGACTGGGTGAGGTTGTTTGCCCATTAGGACACAGATGGCCTGCCCTCAGGGTGCATCCATGTGACACATCCCCTCCTGCTCCCCTGTCACTGTCCACTGCCCTGGACCAAAAGGTCTAATCCGGACCCCAAGCGCTCAATGAGAAAAGTATTTCAGAATGAATGTCTCCATTTAAAAGCACTCTGAAGCACGCTAACCCATTTTCCTTAACCTAATCGGCAAAGAGATTTCTTCTTCTTTTTTTTTTTCTCAGATAAGACCTGTATCCGTCAAGCAGGAAAAGAAGTTTCTGCCTAAAAGGTTATCTATCTCTGAGAGTTACCAACTTCTAACAGCCAGTGCAAATTGCTGCTGGCTGTTGAATTGCAACCGAGTCTGTATAATAAAGAGGCTGTTCTCGGTTCCCCAGGACTCCCGGAATTTGCATGAAAACAGTCTCTCCATCTTCTGAAAGGTTCATCTGGCCCTGCTGCTTACTTCTTTCCAGAAGCCACAATCTTGATGGTGACACTGTAATTTATGACAGAGCTAAGGATTATAACGCAACACACAGAGAACAAGGAGGACTTTGGGGGCGGGGGAGGCCGGCTCCAGGTGCAGGTGAGCTTCAAGAGGGGGGTGGTCTCGTTTGTCATGCAAATGGCACAGGAGGCTGAGGAAAGGACTGGGAGGAAAGATGACCCTGGAAAAGAGCACAGGGCTGGCTGCAGAAGAAACTTGTTTCTAAACAGAATGTTTTTCAAAGCTTTTCTTGAAGCATTAGCTATTCCTCCAAAATAAATGACACAACGTATTTCGTACTAGTAATAAAATATGTGATTTGAATAACTACAAATGGAAAGATTTACAGTCGGTGGGCTCGGGGGGCTCCTCTCCCCTGAGCTTTGTGTGTGCTGAAACCCTTCAGTGAGACGCTGGGAGAGGTAATTGCAGCCCAAACATCATTTTCCAGCCGCTCGAGAGAAAGGCCTATTTGGACATAAATTAACTAAAAATATGCGGATGATAGTGTGTATTTCATGTGCGAAGAACAGAAAGGCCACTTGGTGACGTTTTTCCAACTGAAAAAAAAAATCCTATTCTTCAAACAGACGTCGTTTCTCTGTCCTGCACGGCAGGGTAAACAGCTGTCTTTCATTACCCACACCCCAAACAGTTTCTGAAGGCTGTATGCAGGCAGTATTATTTTTTTTTTCTCATCATACAGCATTTTTGAGTTTATAATTAAAAAAGTAAGAGTGGAGAGACAAAAAGCTAAGTAATTTGCTATGTGTTTTCCATCATTTGACAAGCATGCAGGTGGAACCCTCTTTGGGTCAGGCCAGTCAATAGAGGGAAAGGTGGCAATGTTGCTTCAGTCCTGAGAAGGAGGCTGTTCAGGGAATCCAGCCTTCAGCGGCTCAGTAAAGGTACAAGCTGGGTTTTTCCTAATCACCAGGGAGGGAACCAGGCACACCCCCCACACACACACACACCCAGTCTAGTGAGCACGGATGTACCTGTTCTGCTGCTGAAAAGAAAATGCCCTCCTCTAAGGGGGATGAGGGTGGGGCCAGAGGCCGCTAGGCTCTCTGGATGACAGATTGGCATGGGGGACAAGGGAGTAGAGGACAGAAAGGGGTAAGGAAGAGACTTAAAGGTCACTCTGTTGTCTACTTTTCATTCCCTGGGCCATGGCCAGGGTGTCCTCCTAGCTTCACTGAGCCTGGCATGAACAGGGCTTTCTCCTTGAGCCCCTCTGCCCCCGACATGCCTTCCTGTTGCCCTCCTCAGCCCTAAGAGACCATAGTCTTCCTCTCCCTTTTCAAGCAGGCTGTTTGCTGCATCAGGAACTGCATGGCTTGTCCACACATCTCCATGACCCCTAACTCTGTTAGGCCATGATGACCCTCCTGCCTCTGTCTCCTATGACTCTCCCATGATCCTTTGTCACACCTCTCCCATTCCATTCCTACTCTTGTGCATGGAGGGTTCTTGGGCTTCCGGATACCTAGAGGCAGGACTGCTTCTTCTATGGCCCCACAGTGGGCAGGGGCTCCTGGATGAGCAGCAAGAGGGAAAATAGCCGAGTTGGCTGATTTTTCTGTCTCTGGAAAAGGCTGGGTCTCTCAGATGGAGGCTTGCCTCTGCTCTGCCATCTTGGAGACCTTTTCCCAGCTCTGTAAGGAACCTCACTGAATTTATCCCAAAGTTCAATATTCCTACTCCTTTTACAAGACATAAGCATCTGATAGACTGGTCATTGATGGTTATTTTAATACGTAAACTAGGTATATTCCTTATTGTAATTTTGGGGAGTGGGATACTGGGGATTTAACCCATGGGCAATTTACCACTGAGTCATATATGCAGCCCTTTATATTTTTTATTTTGAGACAGGGTCTCCCTTAGTTGCTTAGGACCTCACTACGTCGCTGAGACTGGCCTCGAACTTGCAATCCTCCTACCTCAGCCTCTCTAGCTCCATGGTGTGCACCAGGAGGCCTAGCTCACTTTGTGATTTTTGATGCCTGATCAATGTCCACTAGGCACACCTCTAGTCCCTTTCCTGCTTCCACCCTCCAACAGCTATTTTATAACAGCTGATACATGTTAAACAGCTGAACTCTTCAGGCTCCTGAACTGTGCTTTCTTTTTGGCTCAGCTTCTTCCTCAGACAATCCCAGCAGTTATAACCAAGTCACTTAACCACCTTGTCTTACTGTCTATACCTGCCAACGGGGATAATGATGTTTAATTATCTCAGAGGGGTGGATGAGGCCCTGGTAGCTAATGCTGGTGGAATGCGAGTGTGTGTGTGTGTTGTGGGGGGGCGCTGCTTCACCTGCTTCCCAACAGGACCCCTGTTCTCTGGGCTGCCTATCCTCCTCTCCTGGCAGATGAGCAATGGCCAGGGAGGGACAAAGCCACCTCCAAAGACCAGGCAGGGAGGCCAGCTCCTGCCTCCACACCTGTGATGTGAGCTAGGTATTCCAAGCCTCCTTTGTCCCTAGGAATGGGGTTGTCCTGAGCCCACACCTGAGTAAAGGTGGAAGGGGCTCTGACACCTGATCCTTCCATTCCAAATCCATGCTGCCTTTCTCTCCCCCTGGATAAAGTAAAAGAAGAAGGGACAATAAACAGAAAATCATGTTCCTCTGTATGAAAGGCAATTGGCATTTTTTCTTTCCCAAAGGTGCGGGGCCAGGGGTGGGGGGGGACCAGGATGGACTTCTGTTCCAACTTTCCCAGAGAGATGAAGCCCCATCTCTCTCCAAAAACATTTATTGCTTCCTCTTTTAAATAAAGCATTAACACGCATGGCATACGTGTTGGGAATAAGAGGACCGATGGATGACATCTTGTGTGAGGAAGGGGATGTAGAAATAGGCGAATCTCACAGACTGTGGCAAGCGGACAAGTTGGCAAAGGGCTTGGGAAAGAAACTGCCACCCAGACTGGAAATCTGAAAATTGTGCTCATCACCACGAGGTGCAGATGGACGTCGTGCGTCTCCAGATGTGACATCCAGAAAAGGACACACTATCGTTCACGTAATGCATAATGCAGAATCCGGGTCTGATCACGAGGAGATACCAGACAAACCCAAAGGAGGGAGGTACTATTAAAAACACGTGAAGGGTATTCTTTAAAAATGTCAATATCATTTTTTAAAAATTGAGAAAATATTCCTGATTAAAAGAGACTAAATAGACATGACAATAAAGTACAATATCTGATCCTAGACTGGATTCTGTACTACAGCGGGAAAAAGTGCTTAAAAAGGACACTTTGGGGAGTTGTGGCTCTGTGGTAGAGCACTTGCCTAGCAAGGGTGAGGTACTGGGTTCGATCCTGAGCACCACATAAAAATAAATGAAGGCATTCTGTCCATCTACAACTACAAAGAAATTAAAAGAAAAAAAGACACTTTTGAGGTCAGTTAACAAAATTAGAATATAGAGAGTAGATAAAAGTCTCTATGTTAAGTTACTAAGTTTGGTAACTAAACTATAGTTATGTAAGGGGATCTCTCTATTCTTAGAAAATACACAGAGAAGTATCTGAGGATATAGATGTATATGTAATGTATTTTCCAAACATTCAGGAAAAAAAAATATTTTGCAAAGGTGGAGACTGAGGGAAATAAAGAAATGAGTTAAAATAATAACACCATGTGAATAATCTGGGCAAAGTTTATATGGGTGTTGTTTGTATTATTTTCACTTCCAGAACTTTTAAGTTCGAAATTATTTTTTAAAAATTTAAGTGTGTAAATTCTTTGGTCCAGCAGTTGCTCTTCTTGATATTTAATTTACAGAAATATCCATATAAGCAAACAGAGATATCTATGTAAGCATACACACTGAAGCACTATTTGAAATAATATATCAGAAGCCACAGAGATGACCATCCAAAATGAGCTAGTGAAATAGTTTCTACGGTTAATTCAAACATAGGATGCCTGAGAAAGAGCCTGAGAAACAAGTCCACAGGGGCAGCAGCAAAAGGTCTACCAGGGCATGAAGTAAGGTCATGGTCAAGTAACAAAGGAGGCCCAGAAACCAATAAGTATGTACAGTATGAGGCCATTTTTGAGATCACAAAAATATGCATAAATCAATACATACCCTCACATACTCTAAGGTTAAGGAAGAAAAAAAAGAAAGAAAAAGAAACACACCAAACTATAATGATAACTTTTGGGAATTGGGAAGGGAAAGTCCGATTCACTTTTTACTTTAAACACAGTTTTGTTTTTTGATGTTGTTAAGCATTGTTTTTATAAATAAAACCATGATAACTTTTTTTTTTAAATACAACATTCTGGAGACTTCTTTGGGTTTCTTTCTTCAGAAGGGCTGACTTTCCAAGTTGGACCAGAAAGTCCCTATTTTCTGCCTACTCTGGGATTAGTTCTCCCCCAGGTGAGGGCAAAAGTCTGATGAATGAGATTGGTTACAACAGCTACTAGGAGCCAGAGGGCAAGAGTCAAGTTCAAGGTTGGGAGAGCAGAAACCGAAGGGTCCCTTCTTCCTGCCATGGGGCAGCAGTATTACACCCAGGGTTCTATGGGCCATTCTACTTGGCATCTCAGGTCTCCTGGGACATGTTTGCCACTCATTTATTTCTTAATTCCACAAACGTGTTCAGAGCAGTACACAAAAGCTTGGGGACACTGTGATAGGAGAGGAAGCCAGGCTTGCTGCTAGGAGAAAAGATTGTAACTGGTATATAGGAGGAGGGTGGCGGAGGCTTTGAAGGGCTCCTCAGCTGGATGGGGAGGGACTGATGTGGTGCGGAAATAGTTTGTAAGAACAGTGTGTTGGGCCCGGTGGAGTTTGGACTGTGGGCCAAGCTGTCCAAGGGTGTTCTCATTCTGTTGGTCCATGCAGGCTTGCACTACAGGATCCTCCCTTGGGGGCATGCTAGAGTGCCCCAGCTCTGTTGGAGCTTGGCTTGCATCTCACCTGTATTTTCCCCATTCATAGGTCTTTCTATATTCTGATGTACCCTAGGATTCACTTTTTATTTTCCTAGTCCTTAGAGTACCAATCCCTGGGTGAGTTTGGTCTCACATTCCCAGACCTAACTTTCACCCAACCTGGTGGGTCCAGAGCCCCAGGTCGTTGCTTCTCTGCTTGGGCCATAGGAGCCCATAGATAGATTCATGTCCCAAAGGAGGAAAGGAAGAAGAGACCCTTGGGTTTTTCTCTCTCCTAGTCCCAGAGTTTCCTCTTCATCTGTTGTGTCTTGATGGCTGTTAGCATCATGCCCACTCACCCAACTTGGGGCCTTCCTGATCCTCCCTGAAAATTCTGTTTAGAAGGGCAAGGCTTAGAGTGATGAGCCTTCTGCCGAAGCTCAAAGACTTGCTCAGATCTTTGCAGTGTGTGTCAATTCTTTGGTCCGGCAGTTGCTCTTCTTGATATTTAATTTACAGAAATATCTATATAAGCATGCAGAGGGCTCAGATCCAGTGCATCTTGGGCTGGTGAACTGTGGGTCCCAAAATATTTTCCATCTCCTCTAGCATCATGGCCTCCCAAAGCTGAGAACTCATCATATTTACTGTGTTGCAGGAACCAAAACTCAGAAGACATTCCTTAGCCACAGTTAAGAACAGCCCA